GAGCCTCGTGGTATGACAAAAACAAAAAGTCAAGGACCTTTAATTCCTCCTCAAAGTCTGTAGATAATATTCTGAGCCACGTCCTTTGAGCTATTTTGCAGATACTGAAATCCCCACCAGATGGAAGAAGTTAATTACATGATGACAAGACTACAGCCGTGACAGGAACTGCTGGTCTGTCTTACACAATTCCAAGAACTGGCCTCAAGGGGGTGCGAACGAACCACTTCTGGAACTGAAGACTAACTGTACTTAAACCATCGAAGGGCAGTGATCCCATCGCCGCATGGCTAATTTCAAGTTGACTCTCAGAGCTGACTGCGCTCTTCTTCATGCAGCTCCCCCCAACCAGGGCCTGTGCACCCCAGAAACGCCCCTTTAAAATCTCCTGTCCCCTGATCAGCAAGGGAGAGTTGATTCTTTGGGACGTGAGCCCACTTTCTCCCCAGGATTGCCAGCTTCCTCAATAAAGCTGCGTCTCCTCTTACCCAACACTTGGCCCTTAGCATTGTATTCCTGAGCGATGAGCAGCCCAGCGTGAGTTCTGTGACAGAAGGAGTCAAATATTCATTTAACGCCTCCTATGTGACGGGTACGGAGGCAGGGAACAGTCCCAGTGCTGCCTGTCTGCTGGGGGCCTGGACAAGGGTCCCTAGGTCATTAGGAGACACAGAGAGAACAGCTGGATGGCCGAGGACAGGTCAACAGGTGCTCCCAGAGAGTCACCTGCCCCCATCTGGGTCCCGGCCTTTCCCTTCTGATTCTTCCGATGCTTCTAAGCTTAGAAAATCCTTTGCCTACATTAGTTTATAGCAACGGCTCTTCAAGATGTACATCTGTTCCCTCCCTTGAGTCGTCCCAATTTCTGCACCTCCTTTCACCTTTCAGAGGGGGCTCAGGGCTGTCTCTGCTCGAGATGGCTGCTTCAAGGGTCCTGGCTCGGAGGTAAAGCCACTGTCCACTTTGCTTCCAGCTTGGCCAGGCAGCCAGGCCTGTAATGGGTCCTGATGCAGGAGGCTGGGCAGCGATGTGCCCAGGTTGGGCACCTATGTTTAGGTTTACCTCCACTGATATTTCCTTTGTTATTGAAGATGAATAGGTAAATGTAATAAATGCTTACTTGTTTAAATGTTTCATCTTTCTCTTTTTTTTCTCCCCCACCCAAAGGGTCTCTTGGGCTAGAATTTAATTAGCAACGAATTCTGGCGATGACATTTTTGCAATATGAAACACAAGCAACTGAATAGAATGGGGCACAGGTGTACAAGTCACCTGCCTAAGCGTGCCAACAGGGAAACACACAGGCCAGGTTGTGAGGAGGACAGAATACGCCCCTTTGGCATGTAGACTATTCTGAGCTGTAGGCAATCGGAGCCAGCAGGCTCAGGACAACTATGACCTCTTCCTTAACTACCTAAAAGAATTGAGATAGGGGGCCTGTACCGGAAGAAGAGTTATTACCAGAGATAACTTTTTTATCTGAAACACTTCCCTGCACAGCAGGGCAAACATTAATTACCAGACTCAGCTCTCTGTATCGCCCCATGAGGGGCCCTCCTCCCCTTGGGAGCCCCAGGCCCCCGTCCCATTCCTCCCCTTGGGAGCCCCAGGCCCCCGTCCCATTCCTCCCCTTGGGAGCCCCAGGCCCCCGTCCCATTCCTTGAGGCATATAACCTCGATTGCCAGGCTCACCCTTGGTCTCGTATCTTTGGGGCTCCTACACGTGAGAAATTAAATTGAGAAAAAACCCCACAAAACACCTTGGTTTCTTCTGACTCTGGGAACATCAGAGATCACAAGTGAAACTCCAAAATTGCTGGAATTTAAAAGTCTGATCCTTCTGAATAGGGATTTCAAATTGAAGTGAATGGCCTCGGGACTCTAGATGGGGACACGGGATACTAGGTCTCTTCCCCTGGCTCTAGTAGGATAAAAAGCTGTGTTGTCAAGGAATGAGATGAATGTCAACATTCTTCAGGGCATTTGGGAAGAAAAAGTAATGCTAATTATGGGTTAGACTTATGTGAGTATAGTAATCATAGGCAATGATAGTGGTAACATCATCAACTCACCCTAGGGCTCAGACACCGTCCCAAGCATTTTATGCTCATTAATTCACTTAGTGCTTCATTTAAGCACAGAGAGGTTCAGCAGTTACTCCTATGCCACACAGCAGGTGCAAGGAAAGGGTGGATCAGCATTCAAGAGTTTGACCTTCAGAGCTTGCCTTCCACGGCAGCTGGAAAACATGTCTGGACCCAAACCTGCAGCAATAAAGCAACACTGACTCCATAAAGCAGCATGAGACAATGACTATACAGACAGACAGTGGCCAGACCATGTCCATGTGACAAGAGACCCACCATCTGTGCAACAACCGTCCAGAAGCCAAACCACAGCCTCTGCAGCCATTGGCCCAGAATGTCAGGAGGTGGCCGTGACCGTCACCTTCCCTAATTTTTGCCCCATCCCCCTTCTAACTCAGGACAACCAGAGAAGGCCCAATATGCCCCTGAAAGCAATCAAACAGGACGCCCAGCTTGCAGTGGGCCTGCCCACAGCCTCCCCGGGCCCAGAGACTCCAGCAGGGCACACCTAGTGTAAGCCGCCCCCTCCTCTGCCTGCCTGTGAGTCTCTGTCAAAACCCAAGTGATGGTGGTGGATCCCCTGCTCCCGCCCGCTCCGAAAAAACAAGCCTTTCCACAGGTGTTACCCTCCTAGTTCTAAAATGTGAGCACCTGCAGACCCAGGTCCAGCGGGGACAGAGGGTCAGGCGTAACGAGGCGCCTCAAGGTGCCCCCCGCACTGCCCCGAGCTGCAGGATGACAGAAGCCACAGAACCGCCTGCCTTGCCCTTCCGGGTCGTCATTTTCTGACGCTTTGTTTTTGACACAGAGGAGTTTTCCATTTTTATGGGGTCAAATCTGTCTCTCATTCATTCATTTGTTCAATTATGAATTGTGGGAGTCTTGAAACCCAGTCCTGTGACTGGTTTATAATTAACACTCGTATCCGGGTGTCTGTTCTTGTTTTCCCTCTTGTCCTAGCCCATACCTGTTTGATCACATTTTTGCCTAATCAATAAGGAGCAGTGAAGGTCAGAGGCTTGGGGCCACAGCGTTCCAGAAGCATCACTGGTTATGTGCTGTTCTGAGTCATCTTCCAGGGCAAGATGACCTTTACAGAGTATGTTGACACAGACTCCGGAGTCACAGACCACCAGACCGGACGCGTAGACGGCAGATGGCTCAGATGGTTCACCCCAGCTCCTCTGTCCTTCCCCTTTAAAAACTGCGAACTCGATTTTTCTAAATGGAAATTGGGAGTGCCAGTTCAAGTACACTGCCTATTTTTAATGATCTTTGATCTATTCATTGGCAGGAGTTATTTATATATCGTCAGGTATGTGTAATGAGAATATCCCAGTGGGTGGTTTGTTGTTTCATTCTCATAAATATGTCTTTCAATGAATAGTTCTTTCTTTTCATTAAATGCAAATGATCAATTAAGAAAAATAAAAACTGCCAACTCCGACCGATGAGGAGTGGACCTGAGGCTTCCCTCCCCCCTTGCTTGGAAGCCTTACTTTGCTGCAAACCCCGCTGTCAGGGTTCGGCTTTCTGTGCTTGGGCCTTGGATGGGTGTCAGTCTCTCCTCCCCCTCCCCCCAGGGCTCAACCACACACGACCTCCCACGCTTCCCTGAACTTACAGAACAGGCTCTGCCCTAGAAAGTACCAGAAAAGCTCACCTCCCCACACACTCGCTCACGGGCCACTCCCACTGGGCCTGCCAGGAGGCGAGGCTGGGCCTCTGCCCGGAGTCAGCACCCAGTGATGGGAGAGGCCCAGTAACCACCGAGGTGCAGTCCTGTCGGGTGGGGGGCAGCTGGATCTTTCTGAAAGGCCAGTCCTGTCCAGACAGCTCCCAGCACAGGCCCCACCCTGCCCCAATATGACGGGGACCCTTCCCTTCCCAGGATGTTGAACCTTCTCATCCCAGGATGTCTCAATCCCAAACCAAACCCCGTCAGAACCAAGCCCTTAACTAACTCCATCCACCTGCCCGCACCCCAGCCTGAGACCCTGGGAGTCATCACCTCCCCATCACTGGACTCCTTTGTGCCTCTTCCGTCCACCCACGTCAGCCCTTCACTGTGTTCCCGGGTCACAGGCCCACGATGTTCACAGCAGCCCACACGACAGGCCAGCCCAGGTGGGGCGCTGGGCCGGGCCGTGGGATGAGGGGCGCCAGGCAGGCAGATGCCCGCGGGAGGGAGGGCCTGCCAGCCCGCCCCTGCCCCTCTCCCCCAGCACCCCCAGCTCCCGCGCTGGGCGGGGGCTTCCCTCCCCTCCGCCCTCGGTCCAGCTGCCCGCTGCTCTCCGGACCCCAAACGCCCCTGTCGTTTCAGGACCCACTACTGTCATCTCACGCAGTGGGTCAAACTGTGGGGACCCGGAGACCAAGACAGGACAGTGGGGTCTGGGGCCACTGTGTGGTCCGGGAGGCCAGGGAGGAGTCAGGATGGGCCAACTCCGCCCCGCGCCCTGCCCCGCACCGGGCCGGTACCCCCGAGGTCCCCCGCAAGCCAGTGCCCGGGGCAGCGCCCGCCCAGCCACCGCGGGAGCCGGAGCACCACCCTTCCCGGGAACCTGCGGACCGCGCCCGCACTCCCACCCACATCCTGCAGGGCCCCGCCCACCCTCTCCCCGAGTCCTGCGGCCGCGCCCCCATCCCGCCCTCTGACTCAGCCGACGGGGGTGGCTGACACCAAACCCAGGGAGGGGGGCCAGCCCTACAGCACACGACCCTTGGTCCCGAGAAGGTGCCTGCCGGGGGTCCCAGGCTGCGGCCTGCTCCCGCCCACGGCGCACCCTACCAGGACGCCCCGCGCCCCATTCCCGTCCCGGGCGCCCGGCACGCCATTTCCGGTCCCGGATTCCCCCCAGCCGCGCGCCGTGGTTCCGCCCGCGCGTCACGTGACCGCCGCGCCAGGTCCGGCGGCTTGATTTCGGTCAGCTGCTCCCGCCGGAGTCCGGTGCTCGTGCGCGTCCGCTGCTCCCGAGTGACCGCCGCCTGGTGTCCACGCCCGCCCGCCCCGCCCGCCGCCGAGATGATGTGCGGCGCGCCCACCCCCACGCAGCCGGCCACGGCCGACACCCAGGCCATCGCCGACCAGGTCAGGGCCCCGGGGGGCGGATGGGGTCCTGGGGGCCCGGGCAGTCCGTAGGCATCGCCGCTGGGGCAGAGGCGGTGCGCCCGAGCGCATCCCGCCGTGGGCCGGGCTCGGCGCAGAGCCGATGCCCCTCCCCGCCTGGGAAGCGCACCCGCGAGCGGAGGTGTCCACAGGGGTAGGGCCGCGACGTGCCCGTTGGGGAAAAGCACTTAGAGAGCAAACGGTACAGTAGGAGGGGTGAAGTAACCCTGAGTGAGTCCGGGGACGGGGTCCACAGGCGTCCTAGACTCAGGCTGTTAGTCTGGCACTTCCGTGTACGTTTGAGGTTCTCTCCAAATGAACAGCTTCGAAACGCAGTCCAGCCTGGGTCGCGGAGGCAGAGCCTGGTTCGGACCCTGGGCAGCTGTCGGGCCGGGTTCCGAGGAAGGCACCTGCACCCAAGGATCAGGTGAGGGTGGGAGGAGCCGGGCCTGCCCTGCCTATCCTCGTGTGTCAGCAAAGTCGGCTCTTGACAAGCAAGACCCCTTCCCGCCTCTTCGTGGTTTTCCGGGCCTGAGAATTCCCCGCTTGTCATGTGAACTTTAAACGTGTGTCAGCTCACTCGGGAGGGAAGGGTTACTGTCTCAAAGGGCCCCTTCATTTGGGGTCAGTTCCTTGAAAGTGATATGTCAGTGGACCGTTCTCACTGCCCCTGGGAACAAGGAGGCCGCCTTTGTGCTGGGTGGTCTCTGTGAGGGGCATGGGCACCATCTGGTGGCCCTTTGTACTGATGCTTTTGGGACAGTCTGGGCTGCACATGAGAAGATCAGAGGCCAGAGACCGGCCCGGGTCAGAAGGACGTCGTGGTGCTGCACTCCGCCCCCGTCTCCTCCAGCCCTGTCCTAGGGCCCTCCCTGGCCCTCTGCCCCACCTGGTCCCCTCAGGGCCGGGAACTGGCAGCTTCCTAAGTGACCCGGGGCCTTCTACACACCCCCTGGCTACAGCCCAGGTCATCTTTCTCCTGGCCGGCAGGCAGCGGTGTGAGTGACCTGCCGTCCCACAGGCCGTGGCCTGGCCTGGCGTTCGCCGCTTGCACATGCTCTGTTCCGCCACGTCCTTTAGGGTTTTCTCAAGCCAATCAGTCCTGGCACTGGGCGGGGGCTCTGTGCAAGCCCCCCTGAAGCAGAGAGAGAGACGATTCCATCTCAGACTCCCGGGAGGGTCTGTGGATGTCACTCACCCCCCTGGCCTTGTAAACTGTCTGCAGGGTCAGTTCCCTGCAGACCTGGCAGGCACCTGGCAGGAAGAAGGGCCCCACGGGGGAGTGTTCAGACGCAGGTGGGCACCAGCCCCTGGGGACACGTGCACCGCCGTGGGAGCCGTGGCAGCTGCGTGGAGAGAAGGCGGCCTGCCTTCTCACTTCCTGACCCTCCCTCCTGTCCTTTCTGCCCACCTTATCCACAGGGAGCCCCCCTCCCTGAAGGCCTTTGCCACAGGGACTCGCTGGCATGTGTGGCGGTGACCCCCTCAGCTCCCAAAGCAGCATGCTTCCGGGCTTCAGTGAAATCCTCCGACCCTCTAGGACCGGTCCTGTGACTGCAGTGCAGAGTCAGCGCGCTCTAGTGCCTGCCGGTAACCCAGAGAGCAGCCGGAGCACTTTGAAACTAGATTAGGTTTTCAAGTCAAGACAGAACAACCTGCTCCCCCTTCCTCCATCAGAATGCTCGGTTCCCAAAAGGCCAAGACCCTGGAAAACAGGACTCATCGGAAAGTGTGATTACCGTCTGACGAAGGATCAGGGACAGCCTCCGCCCAAAGGCACTGCATCCTAGATAAATCATCTAAAAATGCAGCAAAGCAGTTTCCCTGCAAAAGTGTTACCTGCTGCGTTATCTGTCACAAGAAATTGGGAATTCTTAAGAGAATTAAGGCACATCTAGAAGATGGAAGATTAAATTTAAGATTAAATTTAGTTTAACATTTTCAACTGTTTTAGCTTTCAATTTTAAAAGAGTAATTAAGGACTTCCATGTTGGTGCAGTGGTTAAAAATCCTTCTGCCAGTTTAGGGGACACAGGTTCAATCCCTGGTCTGGGAAGGTCGACATGCCGCGAAGCAACTAAGCCCGTGTGCCACAACTACTGAGCCCGTGTGCCACAATACTGAAGCCCGTGTGACACAGCTACTGAAGCCCGCGTGCCTAGAGGCCGTGCTCTGCAACGAAGAGTAGCCCCCACTCGCTGCAACTAGAGAAAGCCCACAAGCAGCAACGAAGACCCAATGCAGCCAAAAATAAATTAATAAATAAATAAATATAATTTCTTTAAAAATAAGCAAATAAAAGTGTAATTAGGAACTTCCCTGGTGGTCCAGTGGTCAAGAATCCTGCTTCCAATGCAGGGGACGCAGGTTTGAGCCCTGGTCAGGGAACTAAGATCCCACATGTCGCAGAGCAGCTAAGCCCATGTGCCACAACTACTGAGCCTGTGCGCCACAACTACTGAGCCCGCACGCCGCAAGGGAGAGCCCACGTTCAGCAACTGAGACCCGATGCAGCAAAAATTAAAATTAAAAAAAAGAATTTAAAAGAGTAATTAAAAAACTATATATACTCTTTGCAATGAACTGTCTGTTAAGTAAAAGAAAAACGGTATGAACTTACATACGTTGTTGTGATAATGAAAATATCAAACTATTCCATGCCTGGAAAAGAAAGGGAAAATGATACAGAGAAATAGTACCGTTGAAACTCGGCAGAATTAGAGAGCTGTTTTCTATACTTTATCATCAGAGCTGACAATTTAATGTGTCTGCTCAGTTGTGAATAACAGTCGTGTTGTAGAAAGTCTGCAGAGGGCCGGCATCAGAGTTCAGCTGTGACACTTAATTGAAGTAAGTGCACGCGTCTCTCCGTTCTCTCCTCCCGCAGGTGAGGGCCCAGCTGGAAGAGAAGGAGAAGAAGTTCCCGATGTTCAAGGCTGTGGAGTTTAAGAGCCAGGTGGTCGCTGGGAGGGTCTTCTTCATCAAGGTGGGATGTCAGCCTCTTCGGAGGGTCTGGCCTGAATTGGGGGCGCCTAGGTGCCTGGGCAGGGGTGCTTAAGAGGGTCGAGTGGCAGCCCCCAGCTTCAGGGGGTTGCTGGCCATCTAAAATGAGCATGCGTGTGCACGCGCGCGTGTGTGTGTGCACGTGTGCGCACAGCCTCCTGGAGGGGAGGACCGAGCCTTTCGGGGACTCGGGGCTCTGATGGAGTGAGTGTGGGTGCCGGGTGCTGGCTGGGGCAACGAGGGCGTCCCCTGCACTCGATGGAGGAAGGTGGGAATGTCCTCAGCCCAGTCGCTGGTCACCTGAAGGGACATGGCCTCCTGGCACCCAGGGCCTTTCTCCCAGTCCAGCCGAGGCCAGTGGAGCAGGGGTCGGAGGCCACGCCCGCCCCTCACTGGACTGTCTTTCCAGGTTCAAGTGGATGATGATAACTTCGTGCACATTCGAGTATTTGAAAGCCTCCCACACGAGAACAAGCCCTTGGCCTTGGCCAGCTACCAGACCCACAAAAGCAGACACGACGAGCTGACCTACTTCTAGTCCCGATTTTGCACAGAGCCCGTCGCCCATGTGGGTCTCTCCACTGCCAACCTGTGTCTGGGACCTCACGTGGTGCCACTCGGGGTGGGGGGGGATGCACCTCTCCGGTGTCTCTATTCCTCATTTTCATTGTGTTCATTTTTTTCTCCCAGTCAATGATCTTAAGTAAATTACTTTCAAGGAGGGCTTGTGTTATCTTTAAATGTATGTATTTTTTCAGTGTTCACAAATTTTCTGTTTTGGGGTTTTTTCTTCATCTGAAGCCGTAATCACAGTAGAGAGGTGTCACGAGGTGCGAGCTGTCCAGGGTGGAGCCCCCGCTGGGCCTCGTGTGGCCTGAGACCCCTCCCCCTGAGCGGCCGAGCAGGGGTGGGGGATGCCCAGGTCACAGCAGGCGGGCTGTAGACCCAGGATTCCAGGAGCCTGTGTTCTAACCGCAGCTCCACACGCCTCCGTTGCTGTGACTCTATTCTGTCTCTAAAATACAGGATTTGAGGGACTTCCCTGGCGGTCCAGTGGTTAGGACTCCGGGCCTTCGCTGCCGAGCGCGAGGGTCATCCCGGTTGGGGAATTAAGATCTCGCGAGCTGCATGGCGCGGCCAAAAATGAATAAATACATAAACACACGGATACATTTTTTTCAGCAAATCCGATTCTAGAGCATTAGCTCGAGATGTCCTCAGACACACTGGCACATTTCTGGCTCTGGTATAGAGATGGTCAGCTGTGGGCAGGAGAGGCGGTAACCCTGCAGGTACGGCCGAGCGCCATCAGCCTGCAAGGCCGTTGCGAGCTCAGCCTCTGGGCTGCACGTGGTCTGCACCGTCTCCCACCCCTGAGACCCCTGCCCACCGGACGCTCCCCATGGCCGCCGGCACCCAGGAGCCAGTCCTGCACTTCCTGGGCATGTAGGGCATTCCTGGCCGCTCAGGCCTATGCTTCCCTCTCCGCTTAGCTGAGACCCGGCTGGTGACTGGCCTGGAGCTCCAGAGGTGGTAGAGGTGCATCTGGAAGGGAAGAGTGTCCGTCTGTGAGGCACCTGCCTCAGGTGTGTGGCTGTTGCTTGGTCTCCAGGTGCGGGAGCTGATTTTCAGCCAGGGCGAGTGTGGTGGGCTGCTGGGCGTCTGGAGGAATTAGGGGTTCAAGAGCCTCAGACGTGTCCTTCCAAACGTCCCCATCCCAGGCCTCAGGGCCCACTCCTCCCCTTTAAGGACCCTACTTTCAACACAACGCATTTTCTTGGTTTGCCAGGGCTGCCAGGCCCCAGGCGTCCCTGGGCTTGTGGCTGCATCACGTGTCTGCCTTTGTGTGTCTGTGTCCCTCCTCATCCCATCAGGACCTCAGTTACCAGATTTAGGTCCACCCTAATGCAGTGGGACCTCAACTAGTACATCTGCAAAGATCCTATTTCCAAATAAGGTCACATTCTGAGGTTCTGGTGGCCCTGACTTATTGGAGGACACCATTGATTTTGGGGGAGACACCAGTCAAAGCTAAATTTAGCATCCTTTTCAAGGGTGCCACCTTTATAACGAGACCCTGAATTCCACACTCAAAGTGGGCAAACTGCATGTAATGTGAATTATATCTGAATAAATCTTCAGCAGTGGGGGAAGGGATGGATGGAAGAGGGAGGAAAGGGCCTACTCTCCTCTCCTTTCCTCTCCCCCATCCCCCCTACCCTGTACCCCAAGGTCATGGATGACAGCCACACTCCAGGGAAAGCAGAGCAACACCATGGAGGGGGCCTGGGACAGCCTTGTGCAGGTGCAGACCGCCGCAGGGGCCTGGGACAGCCTTGTGCAGGTTCAGACCGCCGCGGGGGCCTGGGACAGCCTTGTGCAGGTTCAGACCGCCTGGGACAGCCTTGTGCAGGTTCAGACCGCCGCAGGGGCCGGCCTGAGTCTGCACCTCATGGGGAATTTCTTCAGTGTCCTAACTTAGGCAGAGTTACAGATAGGACGATGCTGTGTGGCTGAGATCCCAGAGGCCCCTGGAAAGTTCCATACAACACGTGTCCCAGTGCCCGAAACCTGTGGATGTTACCTTGTACAGCAAAAGGGACTTGGCACATGTGATTAAGCTAAGGGTCTTAAGATGGGGAGATGGTCTTGGCATATCCGGGTGGGCCCAGCGTCATTACAGGGTCCCCGTGAGAGGTAGGCAGGAGGGTCAGTGTCAGAGAGACTGAAGGTGGAGGAGGGGCCATGAGCCAAGGAACACAGGTGCCTCCAGAGCTGGAAAAGGCAGGCAGGGAAGAGTGTCTCCGGAGCCCGCGGCAGGAGCCAGCTCTGCCCACCATTTTCAGACATCTGACCTCCAGACGGTGAAAGAATACATCTGTGTTGCTTTAAGCTCCTCAACTAGTGGGAACGTGTCACAGCAGCCACAGGAGACTGTCACCAGGAGGCGGAGTCCGGGCCAGGAGGGCCTTGCTGGTGAGCAGAGCAGCACAGGGTTGGCGGAAGTGGATCTGAGACGTTGAGTCAGAGGCACTTGGGACAGGATCCCGTGTCCTCCCCCACCCCTCCCTGCCTGTCCAGCAGGGCCAGGTGCTGCCCGGAGGCGACCTGAGGCCTTATTTACAGAGATGTGGGCTGATCCTGGGGAGAGCAGGTACCTGCCGGGCTCACAGGACCAGCGCTGTCACCACCCAGGTGTGAAGGAAGCCGGAAGCAGCTGGTCAGTGACTGAAGCTGGTCCTCCCTGTCCCCTCCGGGCAGGGAGGGGCTGGGAAAGGGAGCCCAATCCTGTGGGAAGCCCGCCTGGAGCCCCCTGCCCAGAGCATCCAAACCAGCCCTCCCAGGGCAGAGAACAGAGCAGGAGAGGGCATCTGGCCATGGCGGGCAGGACAGTGCAGGTCCTTCCCCGAAAGAGGGATGTCAGGTCCTTCCCCGAGGGAATCGGCTGCCCTCCGTCCCCAGCAGTAACCACTGCTTGGTTGGCTGTTTAAGACAGCTTTAGGTCCTAGTTCACAGAAGGGAGCTCCTCTGGAAAAAAGAAATCACACTTCAACACAATCACCATGAAAATATTTATTTGTGATAATTATAAGTCAGTAAGACCAGTACAGACAGACACAGCCTCTACAGCACTGGAACGAGTTTTACGTTTAAAACACATCCACACGCGCACAGGTGGGGCTGGTAGAGCACGGGGCTAGTGAAACCACTGCCAGAAACACAGAGACGCCCCCGCCCCCCGCCAACTTGCAGCCGGGATCGAGCTGTGTCCCAAGGCTGCATTGCTTCCCCCGAGAAGCCCCCAGAATCTGAGCTCAGTTAGGGAAGGACTGGGTTGGCGTCGACTGGCCTGAGTCAGTGCCTCAGTCCTCCAGGGGGTCCAGTTTTGCAACTGTTGGGGGAAATCCCAACGAAAATTCTAAATCAGAAAGTATGCAGCTGAACCTCAAAACATTCAAAACGCCACCCACATACTTCTTATCCTTCAGGGGCTGCATGGGGTAAATTAAGACTTCACTTCCGTTTCCCCATCTATCAACATCTACACCTCCCATCAAGACGACAGTCCCAGATATTTTGCAGGAATGCACTAAGGCTGGAGTTTTGGGGCACACTGGGGGTGTTGCTGCCAGGCTTACTGATTCCCCCCCTTTCTGTCCTGACCCCCCACCATGCCCTACACCCACTCTCCTTGTGCCAGAACCTGGGTCCTCAGTGAGAAAGCAACTAGTGGCCCAAAACCCACTGACCCGGCTCCGGCTCAGAAGAGCACGAGGGAGGGTGCCCGGCTCTGCGTCCTCGGACGCACAAGGAGTAAGGCCTGCCTGGGGGCTTCACAAGCACAGGGGCCTAGGGCGGCGTGCCCTCCCCTGCCTGCCCAGTCCTGGCCCTTGCAGGGCAGTGATGCCCCAGGCCAGGGTGAGTGGCCCATGGCCTCACGAAGGTATGTCCTCCCAGAACGGGTTTCCTGCTACAGAAGACCGGGGACCTGCCCCACGCTGATGTGGGGCTGGGAGCTTCCTTCACTGCAACCCTGGAGCTTGGGGCCCCTCCCTGAGGGTCAGAGATGGACATAGGGTCTCCCGCTCTGAGTACAGGGCTCTGCTCAGCTCCGACAGTGGAAAGCTTTAAACACACCTGTTTACTCTGCCAGAAGTTAAAAAAAAATTCTAGGAAGAACTTTCCATTCATATAAAGTTGTAAAATAGTCTCTACGTCAGACCTAAGATTACTCATCAAATGACCAAACGCACACACCGCGTCGTGAGCGCAAACCTCTAACGAAAGGCAGGAATGTAGTTCGTAAGACATCCTTTCTTAATCGGTGTCTTTGCACATTAAGAACAGAAAACGTTCTGAACCAAGAATGAACTGCAGGAGTCCGCAGGAAGACATGCGCTACAGGAGAGCTGTTTTAGGAACTAGGGCCCCAGGCCACGTGGCAGCGGGACACGTTGACGGGCCTCCTCCCCGTGCCGTGCAGCACAGACTACAAAGCCTGGTTCCAGTCACCGGACAGGAAAGACTAATTCCCCAAAGAAAAAGCCCCTAGAAGGGCAGCTGCTGTGTGTCACCTACCAGGGAGGGGGCAGGGACCTCTGCCCTCGTCGCCCCCTTCTGGCAGAGGCCGGAAGCGCGTGACTAGATTCTCAAACCACAGCGCTGTCTGTAAAAACAGGCAGGAGTTCATGACACTGTCGGCTGCAGAAGCAAACGCACGCGAGGGTACACCAGCTCTGCACACAGCTCCAAGGCCACCCTTGTGCGGGCAGTGCCCGATCCCTGCTCTGCGGGGGCCCAGCCTGACCGACGCCCATGGGCCGACCTGGAGAACATGGAAGGGTCTCCTGGGTGGATGTGCATCCTGACCAACAGGCCCAAGCTCAAGGCTTCCCGGCCTAGGGCCGTGGACCTGGGCTCCCAGAGCCGCCTCCCCCCGAGTGCCCACCAACTGACATGCTCCCTCTATAGACACGGGAGCAGCTCTCCAGGGGGTCCCGACGCAAAGAACCACACGAGGTGATGCGAAGGAAAGCCCCTGCAGCCTGGTGTGGAATGGAAACGGGTGGGCTCAGGATCTGAGAAGTGAGTCTGGGGGCCATGTGGCTCCCACCCACTCAGAAAGCCAGGACGGACCACATTCACCGCGTCCCTGCTGGCACATAACCCACTCCGCTCACTCACAATTGCCCTCCTTCCGGCCCAGGCAGGTGCTGGGGGCT